TTTTTTTTGGGGGGGGGGCACGAGAAATATGCCACAAATACATGAAATGGAAAAGGGAAACAAAAGCCATAAAAGAACCCCTTCCTCCCCGCAAAAGAAATAATCTTAAAATAAAACGAGGTTTGTTTAACTGAAGTTTCGGGGGCGGGGGAGGCTCCGGTGTGACCCCGTGGCCGCAGGTTTGTGCAGAGGGGCGGGTCGGAGCGGAGTGGTGGCGGTGACCGGGGGACACTGAGCCCAAGGGGCCGCCACAGAAGCGACCATAGCTCCCCCCGAGAGTTGGGAGGGGGTTCAGGCCCTCCATGGGGTTGCAGCTAGAAGCCCCGCAGTAGGTGTGGGTGCAGGCACATCCTGAGTGGGGCTCCTGCCTGTGGCAGAACCGAAGAGTCAGAGCTCGGCTGCAGCCCTCAGAAGACATGCTGCCCTGTGTGTTTCGAGAATCAATATGCTCCATTGCCAGCCCAAACGGAAGACCCCTTCCTCCCGGCAGACCACTTATCTCAGCAGCAGCCCCAGCCACCGGGAGGGCGCTCCAGGCCCGTGGGGCGTCACGCAGCCCCGTGCAAGGCTGGAGGCCCTTCCTTCTTGCAAGGTAGGACAAGAGTGACAGCCAAAATTTGCCTTTCTCTCCTGCGTGGCCCTCGAAGACAACAGACCTTCACCGGCCCAAAGGTCCTGCCCGGGAACGAGCCCCGAGCGCAGGTTGGTTGCTCGTCTGGGTGTCATCCCCGCCCGGGTGCCATCTCCGCCCGGGTGCAACCCTGAGCCTCTCATTGCGGCATGGCCGCGCTTCCCACCTACGTGTTAGTCGCCAGGTGATAAAAGGTGAATGCAAAGGTCCCCCATTTTGCCCTGACCTTACAGGTTTTCAGCGCCAATTAAAGACTCCTCCAAGTCGGAGACTCGGTCTCCAAATTCCCCCTTTCTCCCTGTCAAACAACTTACACGTTAGATCACTGAGCAGAAATTACACCCTTTCTCCCTCCCGCTCCCCGAAGCGTCGTACCAAGCCTCTGATCCTGCATGAAAACACAAGGGTTACTGATCACACAGTTTAAGGTAGATTTCATATTTATTTAAATATCTATCAAGTATTCAAAAATGTATTACACTTGAGCATACAAAATGAATCCAGTTTCTAATCAGGATGATTGAAATCCTTGTATTAGACTTTTAACCTTTTTTATTTTCTTTCAACTGGTTTGTCTCTATAGCTGAGCTTGCTCAGGGTGGGCTGAGATGGTGAGGAGGGAAGAAAAAGGTTATGTTAAGAAAACATTAGGGTTTGGAGTAACTGTCATGCAAACCAACTTGTCTTTGTCAGACTAAAAATCTCTATATATTCCAGTTCTTAAGGATTTTTTAAAGCTAGTCTTTGTCTTGTGCTGGCCAGAAGGACTAGGGAGCACTTGGATTGGAGCAAAACCAACCCTTTCCTATGTTTTTTTTTCTTTCTACTTTTCCCCAAGAAATGGCCCACATTTCTAGCTTTCACTACCTTCTCCCCCGCAAATTAAAAAATGAAGAAAAGAGGGAGAGAAGATATAAAGTCAAGAGAAAATACGGACTATTCCTGCAATTTCACAGCAATATTCTCTCAACCCTATTCCTCCTGCAGCATTTTTTGGATCGTTTTGACAGCAGACACTGATAAATAATAGACATACTTGACTTGTTAAGCAAAAAGCGTCCCTTTTATTAGGAGCTAAAGTACAAGTCATTTCAACAATCTCAACAATGAGGCTTTGGTATACAGCAATTTCTTTTTATAATTTTTTAAAAATAATAGAACTCAGCAAAAAGCCTGAGCTCCCAGTTCTTTAGATGTCTTAACGTTATGTCAGATCATGCTTAGAGTAATATCACTTTTAAGGGCAAGGAATGAGAGGGAGAACAAGAGAATTTCTAACGTTATCGATTGAAAGATAAGGCATCCAACTACCCCTGATATAGTTGTTAAAATGGAAATTTACAAGCTGGTTGTTAATACTTGCAATAAAATATCACACAAGTGATCCTGTAAAAGAGGGATACTAAACTTAAAAAGTCTGAAAACATTTCTAGACGCCGCTACAAAGCTTCATTTTCCATCGCTCCATGTTGAAAAAAATTCCCGACAGATCAAAAAAGGGTGTATATATTAATGTTTCATCATTAAGTATTATTTTGAATCACTGAAAAACCATACACAATGTACCTTGTTATTTTAAAGATCTGGTTTTAACACACTTCGGCCAGGAAATTGAGTTAAGGTTGAACTTCTGTCCTTAATTCACCCTGTTGGGCCTAAGTATTGCAGATGATATAGTCCCATATGAGCTGCCAAATGACGTAGGCATAAGGAAGTGAGTTAAGAACAGAATTTTATTCTAAAATGTCTTTTTTCTTTCAGCTTAAGGCAGTTTATTATATTGTTTGAATTTTTCACATGAATACATACTAACAATTCCCTTTCCGAAGCACAACATTTAATGTAAAGTATATATATGTATATATTTGTGTGTGTATATATATAAAGTTTTATCTAGAGGTACATGTTTAAAACAAGGACTTTGACAATTTAATCAAGCTACTCATGTTTGTGTAACAAAACAAGGACACAAACTGACATTTCAATCATATATTTAAAATCCACCCTATAGTATAAAGGGAGAATTGGCCCGAAGGGGGGAGGGGCGAATTTTAAAAACTGCTATCATAAATGTACATATATGTGAATGTATGTGAAGATGAATAAATGACATGTGGAGAATGTTTTAGTTCTCTGGCTAGAGGTGCTTTCAGTTTTCAGGAGTGTGTGAGCTGAGTTAGTCTTAGACCTGGGTTGGGCCTTATCCATCGCCCACTCAATTTTTTTAGAGCTCTGCTGTGCACTAAGGTAGATTTTGCACCAATTCCTATTAAAACAGTTCAATTCACTGCATTTACAGAGTGCCATCACGCCCACCTTGCAATTTCAGGAAAACCCAGCTAGTCTGGATTGCTCATCTCTCTGAGGGCATCTGGTGCATTTAGGGAATCCCCCATGGCTCTTCCCTGGGTACACGTTGGCTTGCTCCGGCTGGGAAGCGACACTTACTAGTTGCTGAAAAGCAGGTTGATCTATGTCAGTCTGCAATTTGAAGGCACTCGGTACTTTCCAGGGCGGCTGGTAACTCTGCACCTCCACCGGGTTCACCTGTAAACCACCGTCAGGTCTCTCAAAACTAGCAGCCACCATGGGAGTTCCTGTCATCCCTTGGATATTCTGTGAACAGCCCAGCAAAAGATGTTAATGAGCTTGGTTAACTTCGTTGTATATAAGTGCTGAATCAATAAACTGCTTTCTGTTTTAAATATACAGTCGTTGTCGCTTATATTTGTTTTGTTAATCTGCTGTGAATGTTTTACTCTATTCTACTCTAGGTCAGCCTATTTCTACCTGCTGCATTTATCACAGTGGAAGTTTGCTTTCTTTCCCTTTAATCCTCACATTTCTCTCAAGACATATACTCCCCGCAAGCTTTCTTAAACACGAGCAATCTGTATCTTGGCTGCTGATGCACGGCTCGGCACAAGAAACAGTTAATCATGTTCCCTTTCTATTTTGCATCCAGGCTGGTTTTGTTCTGTGTGACCTTAACTGGATCAGATATCCATTGCACGGCAAACCTGGGGTACACCAGTACCGCATTCTTTCCAAGAAAAAACAAAACAAACAAGCAAACAACAACAACAAAAAAACCCACCAGCCCTCACAGGTGGTGCAGGCACTGTGTACAGAATAACTCCAAGCCTCGACGAATAGATTGTTCAGGCGAGTTAATAACATCGTGTTTTATTGCATTCCAACAGGGTAAAATGAAACTCCTTAAATTCCACTTAACTAGGCAGCCTTATGAATTAATAGTCATTCTCAGGTCAGTAAATATACAGAGGGAGAATAACAGACTCTTCTTCAAGTGGACTAACAACAACAGCAAAAATAAAATAAAGTTAGCTTAAAATGGAGATGGAGACTGTTATAAACGGTGATGACAATTTTTTATCCATGCCAATCAGGATTATCCAAATAGAATTTATTGAGCAAGCAATAAACAGGCAAAACAGTGCTGGGCGGCCGGGGAGTCTCCGCTCCACCAACAGCGCGCACCTTACCCTCGCTATAGCCCCCTTCTTATAGTCCTTTAGGTCCGAGTTAAAATCTTGATTGACGTGGCTTTCTCTGATTTCTTCTCTGGTTTATCTTTCCTGTTGTTAGGGGGAACTCTTCCTTGCTATCTGGTGATAGTGGATGAAGGCAGTATTCTTCCTCTGCCTGTAGGTCGTGACATTTTCCCTTTAGGGCATGCATACTCCTTACATACCACACATACTTGTTAAAGCTAAGGTATTCACTGATAAGGCAATCAGGACTCGCTCATCTTGTTTGCACATCTTGTTTGCTTAGCCTGATATCGGTTACAAGGAAACCAGTTTCCAAAAATCTACATATTATACAAAGCTAACGTATCAGTTTGATTAACAAATACACAACATGAATATAAATCCGCATATTATACAGAGCTAACGTACCGGTTTGATTAACAAATACACAACATGAATATATCACAGAGACAGCCAGTTTGCTATGCCGAATCCAGTGCTTTCCGCTTGTTTGCATCACAAATGCATATGCCTGCATAAAAGAACTCAATATATTTCTACGCAAGAACTATATATTTTAAATAACTTGTAAACACGATGGCAATTCCATAAACTTTGCATCGCATTTGTCTTTTTCTACAGTAAGTCGACTGACAAACACACACATACACATTGTAGTATATAAGGTGCTAAGAAAATACATCCAATTTCCCTTTTACTCATGGGTTTTACTTCTGGATTTACTCCTGTGTAAAACCATTGAGGGCGAAAGTATCATTTCCCCCTTGAGGAGTCCTTTGCATTTATAATATAAATATTACACAAGGCTGGGCTCATTACATCCCATAAACTCTGCAGCTCGCAATTCATGCTGCGGAGAATTTAGTCTAATCCATTGCTCCACAAAAAGACACATGTTCACTTGAGCTGCCTATATTGGCTTCTCGCTGTGGTCTGTTTTAATTGCACTGACAGCAGAACAAGGGAATAATAGTTAAGCGGTATCATTTGTTTGTTTTAAGGGAGCTCCCACAAAATCAAAAACGTCAAACCGACCTCAGAGGCTGGCAGGGCTGGACACAGCCCAGACGTTTCTCCTTGGGAAGCACGGTCAGAGGCTGAAGTCACTTACAGTTTTGTCATTGGGTTGCTGTTGCTGAAGTTGCTTCATCATAATGCTCCTTTTTTTGTCCTTGCACCGCTTGTTTTGAAACCAAACCCTGATGACCCTCGGGCTGAGGCCAGTCATTTCTACCAGTTGCTCTTTCATGAGGGCGTCAGGTCTGGGGTTGGCAGCGTAGCAGGTCCTCAAGGTGTGAAGCTGTTTTTCATTAAGGACCGTCCGGACTCGGGTGGTCTTCTCGGGCTGCTTGTGGACGTGGGGTCGCAGAGCCGGCTGTCTGGCAGAGATAGGTTCTGCTGTAAGGGAAGGGGAAGGGAGGAACAGGATCCCCGTGAGTAGGAAGCAGGGAGTCTGCAGAGGCTCTGAATCTAAGCTGGTGGGACAGGGGGAGGCGGGGGTGGGGTGGGTGATGAACCTTCTTTCGAAGGCCATTCAAGCAGTCAGATCTATCGAAACTCCTGTATCCTCCTCTGCTTTATGCGCTGGTGGTGACAGGACTGATATTTCTGACTCCACAGATAAATTAATTTGCAAAAACACCACACACCCCCAAACACCTTGATGACAGAAGCTTGAACCTGTATGAGACTTGACAGAGGAGACTGAGTTCACTAAGGTGTGTGTACACTAGGAAAGGAGGGGGTTTATGTATTTATTTCCTGACAAATCACCAAAACAGATTTTTGGCCCGAAAAGTAATAAAAGAATACTTATTAAATTAATCATAATTCGTCTCTTCTTGTCTGTTTCTTCTAGCTCTGTTTAGCCAGAGGCCACGATAACTTGCAACAGCTCCCAACATTCTGATGCTTCCAAATCAAAGCAAAACAAGCCAAATCCGCTGCACCGTAACCATGGAGGAAAATCCCGTGAGAGCCCCATATCCCAAAGCTCGGGAGATGGAGGTCTATCTTAGAAAGTGGAGGTGCTAGGTGAATTTGTGTCAACTTTTCATGAATACTTTAAAAATATGAATGTTTTGCCAATTCTTTAAAAGGGGGGCAAGCCTAGCAACTCATGAAAACTGCCAAGAAATGCAAAACAACGGGTAACGTCACATCAAGAGCTAAAAGTATTCGTGTGATTGTGCTATTCTTCTGTGTATTGTGTAGCTGTAGCTATCTAGATGTAATTTGATCCAGTCAGGGGAAAAAGAAAAAACTACCTTTTTTTTTGGCTAAAACCCTGGCTAGCTAATATTCAAAAATGCTCACTTTTGTACAGTGGGGTTCCGACTTCTGATTATAATAATAAATCAGCAAATTTGAGGAAGACAATACGAAGGCTTCAATTATTATCAGTGCAGACACAATATGCCTTTTGGAGACATGCACAAACACTCTATAGGGACTAAAATTCTGCAGTGATCAGCTATGGGTTTGTTTTTTTTTTTCTCCCTATATATAGATATGTCACCTGAAAGCAGCTCAGAAGCGGGAAACGAGCCCATTTAAATATAGCTGTGTTTGTAAATAACCTTTCGAGTTAGTTACTTGCACAGCAATAATGCCGGCCAACCTTGTTTTGTCCAGCCTAGTTTGCCTCAGAGACGTTCCTCTTCCTAAAGCTAAGCGTCTCTGAATATCTGATGGACACGTCGAGAACTAAAAGTGTAAGTAAGTTGTAAGGTGGTGTGACTCTGAAGTTACAATGTTGAGTTTTAAGATGAAATTCTCATCAAATCACATAAAACATTTCAAGAAGGCTATGAAGTTTATTTCTTTTCGAACCCCCATTCCTCCAGTGCTTAAAACAGCTTTTACACGTGATCTGGAGACAGAGAGGTCTTTTCCGCAGACCTACTCTGCATCAGCTCGTCCGTCTCCGACTTAGACTCCCGGCTGCCCCAGGCTCAGGGGGGCTCCTTGCACCTGGTGTCCGGTTGGAGCAGGAGGTGTGCAGGCTGGCAGGGGGTGCACACTGCCGCGACCCCTGCGCAGGTGTCTCCGCCTCACGCATACTGCATACGCAGGCGTTTCTCACAGCAGCCGGACCTG